GCTACTTCTCCCGAGTATGTAGATACCATATGTGAAAGCCTTTTTGGCAGTCTAGCCATGTACAGGAAGCCAAAATCCAATAAGCACTTTCAGGCTTTTAAAGAGCTTTATTTCCTTATTACTCTTCCTGATGACCTATCACAGTTTTGGAGGCCCTGAAATGCCAGGATAGTACAAACACCCCCCCAAATTATACTCCGAAGGTATATGCTAAGAGGTATGGTAAGTGTTTTGCATGTCTCATTTGTTGCCACAAGTTTTTGTAAAATGGAAAAATAAAACCAAAATTTATTTATTTTTTTTTTTATTTTTCAAAACCTTTAAAAAAATAATACCTGCAAGTTCCTCAGCATGACTCTTATTCAATTCCTTGGGGTGTCTACTTTCCAAAATGGGGTCATTTGGGGGGAGAGGGGTGTTTGTACTATCCTGGCAATTCAAGGCATCCAAAACTTTGATATGTAGTAAGTGACATGAGAAAATATGCCCTATGAAATCCTGAAGGTGGTCATTGGATATTGGGGCCTGTATGTGGTTAGACTGCCAAAAAGCCTCTCACATGTTGTATCCCTATACTAGGGAGAAGAAGCAGAATGTGTTTTTGGGGTGTTATTCCACAAATGCTCATGATATGTGTGAGCAAAGCATTATTTAAGTGACAACTTTGTGTAAACAAAAAAATTTGGGGGGCATTTTCCAAAAACGTGGCAAAAAATAAAATCCTCTATGGACTCAACATGCCTCTCAGCAAATGGCTTGCGGTGTCTACTTTCCGAAAAATGGTCATGGAGGGTTGTGCTATCCTTGAATTTCAGGGTCTCTGAAACTGTGATAGGTATTGAGGAAGTAAAATGAGGAAATTACATCCTTTAAAAGACTGATGGTGGTCATTACGTTTCAGATCCCGTAAGCATCTAGGCTCCCAAAAAGTATCTCACATGTGGTATCCCCTTCCTCAGGAGAAGCAGCAGTGTATTTTGGGGTATAATTTCACATGTACCCATAACATGTGTAAAAAACAAAAAAAAAAGTTTGTAATTTTCCAAAAACTTGTGACAAAACATGCCCCTCATAAAATTCCTTGGGGCGTCTGCTTTTCAAAAAGGTGTCATTTGGGGGATTTGTGTACTGCCCTGGAATTTTAACACCTCAAGAAATGTGATAGTCAATATAACTTTCACACAAACCAATTAATAAACACATGTTGGGATTTTTTTTTCACCAAAGACATGCAGCAGAATAAATTTTGGCCTACATTTATGATGAAATTTGAGTTTATTGGATATGTTGTATAACAGAAATTAGAAAATATTGTTTTTTTTTTTAATTTTTGTTCTTTTTTTGTTTATATAGCAAAAAAATAAAAAAAAAACTGTAGTTATCAAATACCACCAAAAGAAAGCTCTATTTGTGTGAAAAGGGACATAAATAAAAATAAAATAAAAATTAACAAAATTATATGGATGGGAAATTAGCTAAAAGTGAGAGCTAACCTCAAATCAACCACAATAAAGTTCACCTCCCTGGAGGCATTTCTGAGTGTAGCTCTGGGTAAAGTTTCAGCACCAGAAGCGGTAACCCCGAGCTACACTTGGGAATACCCTGCAGCTCTGCTCCGAGATCTCTTCTTCACTTACCTTGTCCTGCACTCCCACGATGTCCTCCCTGCAGTGTCCCTGACAATGTCCTCTGGCCGATGCCGGCATCTGTTTTCTGGGTTCTGTTCCCTGCGACGTCGGGACGTACGGGGATGGAATTGGCGGGAAATTTGAAAATTGTAGAAGTGACATTCACTAAATTTACTAAAATCACATAGTAAAAGATTACTGTGTCAAACCATTTCACATACATTTTGTCCCTAGTGCTTTGTCCTGTGCCCTGCTTGCATTTTTACTGTTCTTTCTGCCTTGAAACAGAGAAAAGTCCATGGCGTCCAAAAAGCGTCCCTTTAGGTCAAAAGCGGTTTTAGACCAGCTAGAGTACAGTGATAGTAAATTAGAACTACTTCTAGAATTGAGTGATAATGATTCGTGGGGAAATTCGTCATCAGACACTGAAAACGATTTTGTGACTTTGCTCAGTGATGTGCGAATTTGGCGCTCTATTTCAAATTTCAGTGTTTTTGGTTTGATTATATTATTGAATTAAATTTATTATATTATTATTTTCTATAATTATGTATTAAATTATAATTTATGATTTCGTGTTTCAAATTTTAACATACCCGGAATGTTTACTAGACTCTTGTTCGGAGACGCACAAAAAAAGCCAATAGAAAAATTGTAATTGCCCCAAAAGCTGGCAAACAGAATTAAAGCACAGTTTCCTAACAGACTCATTGTGCAGTTTGTCAGCTTTCCCTATGCTTTCTCTACAGGATCTTTAATACACTAACAATATGATTTGCTCTGTGCCCTCCTTTCTTTATAGTGAGTGTTCCGGCTTTAACAAAAACCCACTTATTGGCCTCCTAAGCCTGCTGGCCATGGTCCATATAATGCATTATGTGTATAAAAATGATGTCTCAGCAAATGTAAGCATTAAATTCCAACAAAAAAAAAAAACACTTGTGGGAGGGCATTTCTAGACACAAACAATAATAAGGACTTATACACTCACAAAGGTAGCTGACTTCACCAAGTAAGGAAAAAAATAGCAGCTGGCAGGATTGGTTAGAGGGAGACGGAAGGCAGGGAACAGGAGAATAATTGATTTTGCCTGGAATTGGACCTCAAGAGTAGTCCAATACACATTTAACTCCAAGATAAGTTGGTGTATATACTAAAAATAATGTGATGCTCTTTTCTTCTTTATTACATGTGAACCAAATGTGATGTGTCGCTACATTTGGAAGGTGTTTATAGTATCTCCGAGAACATGAGTGTTATCTGTTTTTATTGTACAGTATATAAAATGTTCATGTAACTGACATATCCCTGCTCATACTCAGTCTCCCTTTTCTCCATCTGCCCATGCCTAAACTTTGTTGATTTCTTGTCCCCGCACCTTTCTTTTTGGCCATAACAGAATTAAACATTACTCAACATTTGCTTTCATTCATGACATAACCTTTTAAAGTGCAGGAGTTTGGCTTAATCTGGCAATGCTTTAGATTAGCTCCTTTTATTTGGCTATCTGGTTTGACCTGACCATCATAGCAACCAATGAAGTAAATCAAACTGAATTGACAGTGAGTGGATCCTGATGGAGAAATGTGAGCGATTAGTTTCACATCAGACCCACCTTGCCTGTGATTGACAGCAGATGGCAGTGGGTGGATTCCAGAGTCGCTATTGAAATGTGGTGTCGTTTTATTAAGCAGTGGTAAATGACCACTGCTCAGTTCTCCATCATTCTCCTCTGAAAGCGGCGTAGATCGCTTCTCCGAATGAAGGGAGAAGTGATCTACAAACCCTTAGAACGCTGGAAAACGGCTGCTTTTACTATAATCTCACGAGGTTACAGTAAGAGATCAGTCATACACCGTTTACTAAGCAGCGGTAAATTACCACTTCTTCATTTGCGGTTCCCCTGATTCTCCAGCCCTGGGCTGGAGAATCTGGAGGGAGAACACAGATCGCCAGTGAAGGACTGACACCGCTCCTTCATACACTGTGCTGAGATGATCAGTGGAGAACATGTTCTCCACTGATCATCTGTTTCCTAAACCCCTAATGATCGGAGACCAGCAACGATCCTCAGGATCACTGCTGATCTCTGTTTCATAAAAAACCTGAGTAGCAGTTTTGAATCCGTTCACAGCCATCCACTGTCAACCACAGTCAAAGTGGATCTGAAGAGAAACTAGTCTCTCACATTTCCAGATCAGGATCTGTCCACTGCCAGTTCGGTATGACTTGCCTCATTGATTACTATAATTGGTCATTATAGCAAGCAATGCAATAAATGTAAAATAAAAATGTATTAATAAATAAGAAAAACAATGAAAGCACAACACCCCTCTCCCACCTGTACAGTATATCAACTTAGAGCTGTCTTAATTACCACCAGTTTGCTTGTCTGTGAACTGGCCTTAATTTTTCTAGAGTCTGTCACAGATTCCAAAAGTTGTGATAGTAAAAACTACCTTTACTGACACTGGAGCAAAGCTTTCATGAGTTAGGCACAGGCCATATTGAAGGGGTCACGCTGCTAGAAATGTAATTCCCTTCATTGGTTTTGCCCAAGCAGTGGGTGCTAAAGGTAAAATGCTGTGGTCATCAAAGCTTTAAGGCTAAGTTCACTTTTACAAAAAATATAATTGCACATAATTTTGCAGAAAAAAAGTTTGTTAGTTACCTTTTCCTCCAGGAACCTGGAAAACATTGCACCTGCAATCAGTAAATCATGGGTGCAATGTCGACTCTAGCAGACATGTCCTCTGGCTTTCAGCCCATACTTTTGTATGGGCTTTCTGGAGGACATGTCAGTGGACTGCAAAAGCACCAATCAATGCAAACATGGCCCATTGAGACTACAAGTCCATCTGCCGCGGTGGAAGATGGTACTTGTAGAGTATTCATTCACAGGAATGTGTGGATGAATGATATGGCAGTGTGGACAGAGCCTCGCACAGCTGCACTGTTTTTGACAAGTGACAGCAGGTATGGGTTGAAAAACTTTCTCCCACGGTCACAGGGAGCAGGAATTGGAGGGGAGAGGGGGCAAGAGCTGGAACATGTTACATGTTCCAAAGGTGACAAATTCAATGGAGTACTGCTCTTCCCCTAAACACTGTGCTCTTATAATCAAAGTAAAAAACAAATAAAAAACAGATATGATAAATGATCAATCCATTTAACGTTACTCATTTAGTGTGATAAGTGAATTAAAAAGTTCATCCAAAATGTCCTTTATACTTACTGTATTTTTCGCTCCATAAAATGCACTTTTTTCCCCCAAAACATGGGAGAAAATGTCTGTGCATCTTATGGAGCAAATATGGAGCGGCCGGCCCAGTATTCCCGCCACTGCCATGCTAGAATACCGGGCCGGCCGCTCGGCTCTACTGTGCAGAAGAACCTGCTCCTCGGTCCTACCTGTTCCTCAATCCAGTGGTGTCCTGCTTTCACCGGCCATCTGCTCTCCCCATCGCTGGCATCTTCAGTGTGGGAACCCGGCTGTGACAGCTTGCGGCTTCACAGCCAGGTGCACACTGCGCATGCGCAAGAAGTGCTGCACTTTGTGATCGGCCACCTATAGTCTTCTGGGACCTGTCAAGTGTCCCACAAGACTTCGGGGAGGACAACTCCGTGGAAGTGGGATCCGGTACCTGTCAAAGGTCTGCAGTCTCTAGTCATCTCCTGCACTATGTCTGCAGTCTCTGGTCATGTCCGCAGTCTCTGGTCATCTGTAGTATGTCTGCAGTCTCTAGTCATCCCCTGTACTATGTCTGCAGTCTCTGGTCATCCCCTGTACTATGTCTGCAGTCTCTGGTCATCCCCTGTGCTATGTCTGCAGTCTCTGGTCATCCCCTGTACTATGTCTGCAGTCTCTGGTCATCCCCTGTACTATGTCTGCAGTCTCTGGTCATCCCCTGTACTAAGTCTGCAGTCTCTGGTCATCCCCTGTACTATGTCTGCAGTCTCTGGTCATCCCCTGTACTATGTCCGCAGTCTCTGGTCATTCCCTGTACTATGTCCGCAGTCTCTGGTCATTCCCTGTACTATGTCCGCAGTCTCTGGTCATTCCCTGTACTATGTCCGCAGTCTCTGGTCATCCCCTGTACTATGTCTGCAGTCTCTGGTCATTTCCTGTACTATGTCTGCAGTCCTATGGTTCATAATATTTTTTTTCTTGTTTTCCTCCTCTAAAATCTAGGTGTGTCTTATGGTCAGGTGCGTCTTATGGAGCGAAAAATATGGTAAATAAATATATAACCACAAATAAATGTCTCTAGTGTCTCTTGATCCAAATCTTAATATATGCTCCAGCAAACCATTCATAATGTACTACAAGACACCTCCTTCCTAAAGCACAAGTCCTCTCTTAGTGCTCACATTTAAATTGTGCACTCATCAGACCTCCATGACCCTCTTAGGCTCCATTCACACTTGAGCATTTTGTAGCTTGAAGCTCAAAGCCTGCAGCTCCAAAAAAGCTCAAACTTAAAAAAATCTATTGTTCTCTATGGTGCCTGTTCACACCTGATCCCATGAAGAGGCACCATAGAGAACAACTGATTTTTTTTTAAGTTTGAGAGTTCTTGGAGCTTCCTGCTTCAAGCTACAAAACGCTCAAGTGTGAATGCAGCCTAAAAGTGGTTGTAAACCTCAGACATGAAATATGAACAAAGCATATCCCTCTATAGCGTGTACTCATCTCAGTTAAAAGCACCAAGTGTCATTTCTGTCAACTGCTTCATTCCTTTGAACGTTTTCCAGACACCAAGAGAAAAATGGTGACAGGGGAGGGAACTCCAGCTGATTGACAGCCACAGTTCTGTTCCTGTGAATACTGTGAAGGGGGGTGTTTCCCTCCAATCAGCTCTCAGAAATCTCCTCACTGAGCTCTGCAGAGTGTGGCTTCAGCTCTCTGCCTCTTTTTTGACAGCTCACACAAGCTTTATGAATTCAGCACTTTGAACGGATGTAGAGAAGAGATAGAAAGGTACAACTTATATAGGAGAATTTGTTAAATCTCTGTGTATCACCTTAAGTAGTCACTTCACTGGGTATATGTATGGGTTTACAACCACTTTAAATTAATAAGTAGGTCTACATTAGCTTAGATTTTTGCTGTCCTTCCAGGCAGCCTTTTAGCTTTCTAAGCCACCTCCTTCCAGCTTTTGATCTTTACACCCTTTAGTCCTGCAAATACATTTTGACCATTCTTCACCCTTCTTCTTCTCTTAACCTCTGGGAATATCTCCCCAAACCCTGGTCCTCCACTATTTCCCCCAAACCAGGCATCCTCTTTCTTCCAGGAATAGCTGAAATCCCCTTATTTTAATCTCAATCCCCCTGCTCCAAAAAAAAAAACACCCTCCCTTTTTCATGTGCACTCTGGAATGCCCGCCCTGTCTGTAATAGGTTTACCTCTGTCCATGACATTTTTGTCTCCTGCTCCCTTACAGAAACCTGGCTTCAAGCAGCAGATTCTTCTTCTCCCGCAGCACTTTCCTTTGGAGGCCTCCACTGGACCCACTCACCCAGACCCAGTGGTCGGAAAGGAGGAGGGGTTGGTTTGCTTCTATCCCCACTGAGCACCTTTCAAGTCTTCCCTAACCCTTCCTCTCTATCATTCTCTTCTTTCGAGACTCACTGCATTCGGCTGTTTTTTCTCCCATTTCTCTGAGGATTGCAGTGATCTACCTACCTCCTGGACCGGTGTCCCGCTTTCTTGATGATTTCTTTGCCTGGCTACCCTACTTTCTCTCCTCTGAAATACCCACTATCATTCTCAGAGATTTTAGCATCCCTATTATTGTAAACAACCCGGCTACATCCCAACTCTTCAACCTAACCTCATCTTTTGCATTAGCACAATGTATACAGTCCTCCACTCATTCTGATGGGAATACATTAGACCTTGTTTTCTCCTGTCTTTGCACTCCCTACAACTTCACAAACACCCCCTTTCCTCTCTTGGATCACAATCTCATCACCTTCACAGTCTTCTCGTCTTCAAACACCTATCCCTCCAAGCAGCAAACAATTACCCGCAGAAACCTTCACAACTTGAACCCTGCTCCTTTCCACTCTGCAACTGACCAACTCTATGACAGAATCTCTCCCCTGTCCTTCCCTGACCTGGCCACTGCTGTCTACAACAGTTTGCTTTCATCCACATTAGACTCACTTGCTCCTCTAACAACACGAAGCATCAGATCCCGACCATTACAACCTTGGCAGACTGACGACACCAGAAATCTTAAGTGACATAGTCATGCGCTGGAGCAATTGTGGCGTAAAACCAAATCTCACCAAGCATTTACCTTATATAAATCTGCTTTCTTAACATACAAGTCCTCCCTTCATGCTGCCAAACAAGCCTACTTTGTCACTCTCATCAATAGCTTGTCATCCAGTCCTCATCATCTCTTCTCTACTTTTAACTCTCTACTTTCTCCACCTCCACCCAGCACCTCACTCACTGCTCACGAGATTGCAAATCATTTAAAAAACAAGATTGATGCAATTTGTAGGGGCATCGCCACTGCACATCCATCCATCCCACTTAGCATACCTTATACTAAACCTCCCTCAACACTTTCCTCTTTTGACCTTGCTACTACCGAAGACGTCACTAAGGTTTTCTCAGAAGCCTGTCTCACTACCTGCCCCCTAGATCCTGTCCCCTCTCAACTACTACGGTCACCCTCTTCTTCCATCCTATGCTCCCTCACTCACATCTTCAAACTCTCCATCTCTAACAGTGCCTTCCCCTCCCCTCTAAAGCATGCACACATCGCTCCCATATTTAAAAGCCCTCCCTGGATCCCACCAACATGAACAACTTAAGACCCATCTCCCTGCTACCATTTACCTCTAAACTCCTAGAACGCTTAGTCTACAATTGCCTGAGCTCCTACCTCACTGACAACAACCTTCTTGACCCTTTACAGTCTGTCTTTCGCTCACTACACTCCACTGAAACTACCCTACTAAAACTCACTAATGATCTACTAACTGCTAAAACCAATGGCCACTACTCCATACTCTTACTACTTGACCTCTCTGCGGCTTTTTATACAGTTGACCATCCACTCCTCCTCAAAAAACTCCACTCTCTTGGCCTCCGAGACTCTGCTCTCTCCTGGTTCTCCTCCTACCTATCGCAGTGCTCCTTCAGCGTTACCTATAACTCTGCCTCCTACTCTCCACATCCTCTTTCTGTAGGGGTCCCTCAAGGTTCCATCCTTGTACCCCTACTCTTCTCCATCTACTCCTCCTCCCTTGGTCACTTGATAAACTCCCATGGCTTTAAGTACCATCTCTATGCTGATGACACACAAATCTATCTTTCTACTCCTTAGCTCACCCCTTCAGTCTCCTCTCGCATTACTAATCTACTAGGGGACATATCAAAATGGATGTCACTCCACTTCCTTAAACTCAATCTTTACAAAATTGAGCTCTTAGTATTCCCTCCAGCCCATGCCCCCTCCCGTGACTTCTCAAATCAAGATCAATAACACAATCATCATCAGTCCCTCCCCTCATGCCAGGGTGCTAGGTGTAATCCTAGACTCCCATCTATCCTTTCAGCCCCAAATCCAATCGCTGTCTAAATCTTGTAGACTTCACCTCCACAACATCTCCAAGATATGGCCGTTCTTAACTAGGGAGTGAATAAGTTGCTTAGTGGTTTCCGAGGTTATCTCTCGCCTTTACTATTGTAACTCCCTTCTCATTGGCCTACCTCATCGCAGGCTATCCCCTCTTCAGTCTATCATGAATGCTGCTGCCAGACTCATCCACCTTACTAACCATTCTGTATCAGCCACCCCTCTCTGCCATTCCCTCCACTGGCTTCCCCTTGCCCAACGGATAAAATTCAAAACATTAATAACATATAAAGCCATTTATAACTCTGCCCCAAATTACATCACTTGTCTTCAAATATCACCCAAACCGTACTCTCCGCTCCTCGCACGACCTCTTGCTCTCTAGCTCCCTTGTCTCCTCCTCCCATGCTCATCTTCAGGACTTCTCCAGTGCTTCCCCCATCCTCTGGAATTCTCTACCCCAATTTATCAGACTATTGCCTTCTCTGCTCACTTTTAGGCGATCTCTGAAAACCTTTCTCTTCAGGGAAGCCTATCCTGCTGTTGGCTAACAATGGAATCTTCTACTCTTCCTACCAGTTCATTCCCCACAGTTACTACCTTTTGTACCACTAGCCCCTACCTCCTAGATTGTAAGCTCCGAGGAGCAGGGCCCTCCTATCCCTCTTGTATTGAACTGTATTGTTGCTGTATTGTCTTCCATTATATTGTAAAGCGTTGAGCAAACTGTTGGCGCTATATAAATCCTGTATAATAATAATATGAATAAACAATAGAAAAGAAAGCCATTATGCAGTAATTTTTACTGCAATAGTAAAAAAAAGTAAGTATAAATGTAGTTTTTCACATGTTTCAAAGGTGAACTTATCCATTAATGAATGGCTAAGCATTTTAAAATGCCTTCCTGAATCAAGCTGTCATGTTTGACCTCAGTTTTGTGTATAGTCAACTTATTTTGTGAAGTCAAAAGCAGCCTATAGCAGCAAGTCAGATGGTTTTTATTTTCTTACCGACAGTAAAAAAAATGGTGGATTTTGATTGGTATATATCCTCACTGTTAACCTTGCTGGACATAAGTACTTTGGGTTAAAATGGCACCAAAATGATATAGACAATAGAAGGGTTATTTAAGGAGAACTGCGGATATATTAGGTGTAGCTATAGAAATCAGCTTGGCAGTAGCATGTACGCTGATCACTGACAATAAAAGATTCACTATTGTTATATTCATATATTAAAAAATGGTCTATGAAAAGCATAGATAAAAAGACTTACCCAGAATTTCATTCTAACTTTGTTAAGTGAATAATAAAATGTGTAACTGTTAAATTACTTTTTTCCTCAAACCGTTTCTACCAGCAATTGGCACTAAAAGTTGGCAAGGTACAGAATATAAAGGTTATTAATAGATTTGCACAAAATGACATGAGTAGGTTCTGTTTTTTTATGTCATGTAACACGTTTTCTGCAGCTGTGCCCATGCTAACGAGTATATCTGAGCCTGGGAACATCACAAAGAAGAAAAACACTGCTGGAAAACTGAAACAGTAAATGCAAGCTACCCACAGATTTTATCCTCATATTGCTGCTTTCAAGTGTTGGATTGGGGTATTAAGGACTCATTAATAATTTTGGGTTACAACAATAATATTAGTTGAAGCAGCTTATAACTGCAGGAGAGGCATTTGAATGCAAGCATCTCAGAAGAAGACACTGATGGAAATGAAAAGTTCACCTCTCAGTACTTAAATCTGAACTCCAGGCAGACATAAAAGACACAAATTACTGCAGCTCTGTATTCATGAATACATCTTCAAATGAGTTTTTAATGCAAGTAGTCTAAGTACATGGCGTTGCTTAGTTGTAGCACCTTGTAGTCTCTGAACTGTCCTGACTGTTCTGAATTCAATCCATCGTTTGACTTCAGAACAACCAGCCTGTCAGATATTTTGCATGTGATGACTGCCGCCAACAGTGATCATTGTGTTCTGCCAGCAGGGAAGGCTCCCTGTTGTCAGAACACAGTAGCATGACAGGAGGGATTCCCCCATCAACACTGACTGTATTGATGGGGAAATCGAGCAATTTTCTTTTCTGCAACCCGTAGTTGCGATAAAAAAAATTGCATCTATGGTTTGTCTAAGTGTTAGAGCCCAGTTACACCGTTGGTTGCATGTTATGCTTCCTATAACGTGGGCCTGCTCACATGTGAGTTTTGGGCAAATACAATGCATTGTTACAACTCATTGAACTGTTGACTTTTTTTTGTCACAAAATAACATTAGGTTCAGTTCTAAGCAATGCAGCACATCACAACACACTTCACTGCATAGCCATGCAAAGCAGTGTGCTTACAGTGAAGCACAAACAAAGACAGCACACAGTTAACTCTTTGATTGCCCCACATGTTAACTCTTTCTTGCCCAGTGCCATTAGTACAGTGTCAGTTCTTTTTATTAGCACTGATCACTGTATTGGTGTCACTGGGGATGTCAGTGACACCAAGTCAATTCCCCCAATGTCAGAATGTCCGCCGCAGTCCCGCTATAAGTCGCTGATAGCCGCCATTACTAGTAAAAGAAATTTTTTTAAAAGCCTAGTATATATAACGCCATTTTGAAATGCTATAACGTTCACATAAACCAATTAATTTATACACGGATTGGAATTTTTTTTCTAGCAAAGACATGCAGCAGAATACATTTTGGCCTAAATTTATGAGGAAATTTGATTTTTAATTTTTTTTTTTTACTGGACATATTTTAATAGCAAAAAGTAAAAAATATAGTTTTTTTTCTCAAAATTGTTGGCCTTTTTTTTTATAGTGCAAAAAATACAAAACACACAGGCGATCAAATACTACCAAAAAGCTCTAAATTGTAAATTTCATTTGGGCGCAGTATTGCATGACTGCGCAATTGTCAGTTAAAGTAACGCAGTGCCGTGATGCAAAAAATGGCCTGGTCAGGAAGGGGGGTAAATCATCTCGAGGACAAGTGGTTAAACCCTTAGTCAATATTTTCTGAAAGCAAAAACCCTGATGAGCTAAATGGTGGTAATTGCAATTTGTATGTGACATTGAGTGAGATTTATTAAAAAGGGAGAGTGCAAAATCTGGTGCAGCTGTCTATAAAAAACAATCAGTATCCAGGTTTGTTGTCAAAGCTTAATTGAACATGCTGAAGTCAGAAGCAGATCGGCTACCATACACAGTGCTCCGGCTTTAGTAAATCACCTCCATTATGTTACAATATATATATACAGTGAGGAACAGAAGTATTTGAACACCCTGCTCTGATGGGCACAGCGTCAGACCCCAGGCCTTCTCACCAAACTCGGGACTGAAGAACTAGCCAATCTAAAACCGCGCTGTCATATGCGTAACAATGCCACACCCAGCTGCACCCTGCACAACGATTTTCCAGCTAATTGGACCACAATCGATGTATACCTGCAGCCTGGATGCGATTGTTACTGGGTCAGGTTAATTACGCAATTAACCCTTCACACTGCCACCACCTTCTTTTTATACAGAGAAAGAGGAAACTCAGTAATATCAGCAACAACACTAGGATGATTGGTTAATCGTCGGTATCCCGCTATCTCTACAGACAGGTTATACAGAAGGTTAAACACTCATAGTAGCGTTCTTCAGCGGCAGGGACCCGTAAGTTACATTCAAGAGCTATAGAAACAGGTCAACACTTTCAGAAAGTAAGATTTATTACCAAGAGATTAAAGGGATGCAGAAGAAATATTTACAGAAAGAAGATGTAACCAATATATATATATATATATAGATATACAGAGCACAACAGCACAGCAAACAGATAACAGAAAGGAGTTTAAAGGGTTAAAGAACTTGCCAGTCAGCCTTGGTTTTAAGCAGCTTCAAGTCTCATGACCAAAAGGATGCTTTGATCTCCCATTGTTAGTTTCAATATTAAGGCAGGGAGATCTTCTTTTCTCTTTCTCTGCGAGATGTTGCACGCAGAAAGTCCTCATTTGTCTGACTACACCCAAAACATAACAGCTTCTCTTTCTACACAAAATCAACTGGTATCTTCCTACCACGGACAAGACAATCCTTATTTGGCAAAGAATTGTTAGACAGGGGCTCAGCATCACACGCTGATTGCATTCCTGAGGGAGGGGGAATGAGGGGATACATGTAGAGTTCTTAATACAGTGAGAGCATGTGCCTGGCTCTTGTATGCACAATACTACACTTCCCCCCCCCCTCAGGTGATGGCATATGAGTTTAAGAGCAATACCAAAATGTAGAAGTTAGGGGTGAAATGGAGAACCGCACCTCTCCCTGAGGGCATGATTGTGACACCTTCGATTTTGCAAGTTCTCCCACTTAGAAATCATGGAGGGGTCTGAAATTCACATTGTAGGTGCATTCCCACTCTGAGAGACAGAATGTAAAAAACAAAATTCAGGAAATCACATTGTATGATTTTTAAAGAATTTATTTGTCTTGCACTGCTGAACATAAGTATTTGAACACCTAAGAAACAGCAAGAATTCTGGCTCTCAAAGACCTGTTACTGTGCCTTTAAAAGGTCCACCTCTACTCCACTCATTAATCTAACTTAGTAGCACCTGTCTGAGCTCTTTAAAGACACCTGTCCACCCCGCAGTCAGTCAGACTACCATGGGCAAGACCAATGAGCTGTCAAAAGACACCAGAGACAAAATTGTGGACCTCCACAAGGCTGGAAAGGGCTGTGGGGCAATTGCCAAACTAACTTGGTGAAAATAGATCAAGGTGTTGGAGCAAATGTTAGAAAATGGAAGAGGCTAAAGACAACTGTCAGTCTCCCTCGGACTGGAGCTCCATGCAAGATCTCACCTTGTGGGGTATTACTGATGATAAGAAAGGTGAGGAATCAGCCCAGAACTACAAGGGAGGAGCTGGTCAATGACATGAAGATAGCTGGGACCACAGTTTCAAAGGTCACTATCGGTAGAACACTACGCCGTCATGCTTTCATATCATGCATTGCACGGAAGGTTCCCCTGCTCAAGTCATCACATGTCCAGGCCCGTCTGAAGTTTGCCAGTGACCATCTGGATGATCCAGAGGAGGCATGGGAGAAAGTCATGTGGTCAGATGAGACCAAAGTAGAAATTTTTTTGAGATTTTGAGCAACAACCTCCTTCCCTCAGTCAGAGCATTGAAGATGGGTCGTGGCTGGGTCTTCCAGCATGGACACGACCCGAAGCACACAGCCAGGATAACCAAGGAGTGGCTCCGTAAGCAGCATATCAAGGTTCTGGAGTGGCCTAGCCAGTCTTCAGACCTAAATCCAATAGATATGAAATCTTTGGAGGGAGCTGAAACTCCGTGTTGCTCAGCGACAGCTCCGAAACCTGACAGATCTAGAGGAGATATGTGTGGAGGAGTGGGCCAAAATCAAGGTGAGATCTTCATGGAGCCTCTTGCAGTGTATGCAAACCTGATCAAGAACTACAGGAAATGTTTGACCTCTGTAATTGCAAACAAAGGCTTCTGTACCAAATATTAACACTGATTTTCTCAGGTGTTCAAATACTTATGTTCAGCAGTGCAAGACAAATAAGTTTATTTAAAAATCATACAATGTGATTTCCTGAATTTTTTAAAAAATTCTGTCTCTCAGAGTGGGAATTTGCACCTACAATGTGAATTTCAGACCCCTCCATGATTTCTAAGCCTTGGGAGAACTTGCAAAATCGAAGGTGTCACAATCATGCCCTCAGGGAGAGGTGCGGTTCTCCATTTCACCCCTAACTTCTACATTTTGGTATTGCTCTTAAACTCATATGCCATCACCTGACTGGGGGGGGAAGTGTAGTATTGTGCATACAAGAGCCAGGCACATGCTCTCACTGTATTAGATTAATGAGTGGAGTAGAGGTGGACCTTTTAAAGGCACAGTAACAGGTCTTTGAGAGCCAGAATTCTTGCTGTTTCTTAGGTGTTCAAATACTTATGTTCAGCAGTGCAAGACAAATAAATTCTTTAAAAATCATACAATGTGATTTCCTGAATTTTGTTTTTTACATTCTGTCTCTCAGAGTGGGAATGCACCTAAAATGTGAATTTCAGACCCCTCCATGATTTCTCTAAGGGAGAACTTGCAAAATCGCAGGGTGTTCAAATAAGCCTGGTCCACACTGTGTATGTGTGTGTGTGTGGTGTGTATATATATATATATATATATATATATATATATATATATATATATATATACACACTATATTGCAAAAACTATTGGGACGCCTGCCTTTACACACACATGAACTTTTTTGGCATCCTAGTCTTGGTTCATAGAGTGCAATATTGAGTTGGTCCATCCTTTGCAGCTATAACAGCTCCAATTCTTCTAAGAAGACTGTCATTGCTTGAGGTGATTGTAGCCTTATTAGTGCACTTGTGACAGAAACAATTGAGTACTGACGTGATACTTTTTTTTTATTTGCACTAACATACAATTTTGAGGACAAGCTTGGACCTTGAAGAAGGGGACATACCCCGAAAGCTTGTCCTCAAAATTGTATGTTAGTGCAAATAAAAAAAATTCATCCCAAAGGTGTTCTATTGGGTTGAGATCAGGACTCTGTGCAGGCCAGTCAAGTTCCTCCACCCCAAACTCACTCATCCATGTCTTTATGGATCTTGCTTTGTGCACTGGTGCGCAGTCATGTTGGAACATGAAGGGGCCATCCCCAAACTCTTCCCACAAAGTTGGGAGCATGAAATTGTCCAAAATGTCTTGGTATGCTGACGCCTTAAGAGTTCCCTTCACTGGAACTAAAGGGCCAAGCTCTACCCCTGAAAAACAACCTCTCATCATAATCCCTCCTCCACAAAACTTTACACGTGACAAAATGCAGTCAGGCAAGTACCATTCTCCTGGAAACCATCAAACCCAGACATGTCCATCAGTTTTCCAGACAGAAAAGGTAATTCATCACTTTAAAGAACACGTCTCCACTGCTCTAGAGGCCAGTTACAGCGTGCTTTACACACTCAGCTCATGGCAGCTGTTCAGCCATGGAAACTCATTCCATGAAGCTCTCTATGCACTGTTGTGCTAATCTGAAGGCCACATGATGTTTGGAGTTCTATAGCTATTGACTCTCCAGACAGTTGGAGTTTTGTGCGCACTGTGCGCTTCAGCATGCGTTAACCCCGCTCTGTCATTTTATGTGGCCTACCACTTTATGGCTGAGTTGCTGCTGTTTCCAGTTGCTTTCAATTTGTTATAATACCACTAACAGTTGATCGTGGAATATTTAGTAGCAAGGACATTTCATGGATGGACTTATTGCACAGGTGGCACCCTATCACGGTACCATGCTTGAATTCACTGAGAGTGACCCATTCTTTCACAAATGTTTGCAGAAGCAGTCTGCTTGCCTATGTGCTTAATTTTTACACCTGTGGTCATGGAAGTGATTGGAAACCCTGAATCCAAGGATTTGGAGGGGTATCCAAATACTTTTGGCAATATAGTGTATATGTGGCTTGGACAAAAATATGATTTGCAGGTGAAAAAATGATGAAATGTTTTGCATTGAAAGTGATGTAA